GAGATGATTGAGACTACTTTTGTGTTCCTTCTTCTTCTTCTTCTTTTTCTTCTTCTTCTTCTTCTTCTTCTTCTTATTATTATTATTCGTATTATTACTATTATTATTATTATTATTATTATTATTATTATTAATAATTATTATTATTATTATCACTAGTATCATTTTTATTAATATTGCCATAATCAATACCATTATTTTTAATTTAATTTATTTCAAATACTAACATTTTCATTGTTATTATCATCACCAGATCATCGAAGTCGTCTAACTCGTCTGGCGCTCCGTCCCCATCCACACCCCGGCGTGGGGCGGGGGGCGGGTCTCACCCAAGTCTGGACACCACGTCATCAGATCCTGCGCCCACCTGGCAAGGCAGCCCCGAGGCCATCCGGTCAGTGAGGCGGCCCAGGAAGAGCGTGGAGCAGCAAGAGAGAGAGAAGGTGGTCAAGCTGATACATGAGCTGGACGGGTGAAGGATACAAGGGTGAAGTCAGTATGTGGACGGGTGAAGGATACACACCTAAGACATTGTATAGGTGGGGGAAAGAAGAAGTCAATATATTATTATGAACGTGTGAAGAATACACACATATGACAATGTATGGACGGGTGAAGGGTATAAACGTATGCCAATGTATTGGCTGGACTTGTGAAGGACAGACATAGGAGATAATATACGGGCTGAACGGGTCAATAGTACACAATTACTTGAATTGATTGAGTGCATTGTATCGTTTTGTAACCTGTAACGCAGGTCAAAGGTTTTGACAGTTGGTATTTTCCAACAGCTAACTCTCCGGGTACTGAAATGGAATGTCGTCTTGAGGAAGTGATTATTAGAACTGATGAGAATTTTATTGGCCCTACCCGTTGCTCCTACATATTTTGTTTATTTTTGGCCACAGAACTTCTTGCGAACACACCTCATGGTTTTAAAAAATTGTGGTGATTGGATGATCTCGTTAACAGTTTTACTTTTATGAAATTATGTCAGTTTTATCCTAATGAAGTTATGAAAATATACGATGAGTCGTAGTCTCTCTGTCTCTTCGTCGCTGGACGTAAATATAGTCAAGCACAATAAATCTAACACGCATATAGAGAAACACGTAACTAGCGAAACCTGCAAATAGAGAAGTGCGTAAATTCTATTATTATTATAATTTTTTAAATTATTCTATAGCGAAGATTCGTACTTAACGAAATTACTTTCACCTCCTCCCAATGATAGTATTTGTGTCCTAGACTGTATGTATCTATCATATATTTGGCAACTTGGAAACACATTAGTCACGTTTCCAATAAAACTACGATAGCCACAGAGTTGAAAGTTGGCAAGTACCTGCAAAAAGATAGACAGGTCCTCATGACGGAGCCTGCTTTTTTATTTATTCATTTTCTGAATTTAGACAAATATATTTGGCAAAAAGTTCCCGTCCTTCTTTGGCCTTTGAGATTATTCCACTGAGAAATGAAACAAATCTGCTTAGCTGCCCGTCACAGCGGAAGTGCCAGAAGTGATATTTCGCGAGGCACATTTGTTTTGAGAGTATAGATCTAGACCTAATTCATTACATCTCTCAAGATTTATTGCTCCATTCGAGTAGAGTTGTAAATATAGTTGGCCAATTGCTTTCTGTTAATGTTAAAAGGCACCGATCAATCCTGTCTTCGAAAAGGGGCCCAGCTAGTTTATTATAATATTATTATAACAAACAGTGTTAAGACATGGAAGGGCTACGACTTACCATAGATCTTTATAGTTACATTCTAGTGTATGTAACAGTGACGATAATGAAGTAATTTCATAACGATATACTTTTTGGCAGGATCCGCCAATGAGCGTTCTCAAGTCTTATTGCTCTGAAGTCAAAATATAGAGCGCACTTTCCCCAAGCACCGGTATCATTGAGTTTTCGGTGGAAACTTTTCTTTGTATTCAAGTGAGAGAGTGATAAGTCTTATCGAAAATGTTACGTTTGGTCTCTTTGTGCTAGCAAAGTTTTTTGTTCCAAAACTTTCGCCGCTCTTTACTGCACGTGGTAGTCTGTTTTGTTTTTGTTTGATTTGGTGTATAAAATACACAACTGGTGGTGTGATTCTGTGACAATTTTTAAAAAAATTCTAAGACATGTTCATCGGTACTCAAGAAAGACTTTTATCAATCGTTATGTTTTATCATCCGATAAATTGTCATATTATCACGATATGCCTTGTCCTGAATTTACTGTACGTATTATATATTATATTATATATGCATAAATGTCGGTGTTTTTGACGCCCCCATAGACTCAATTTACATTAATTCGGAGGCGGAGTCCCGAGGGAAACAACATCTCAGCAAAAGGAAAGAGATACTCAATGCAGAATTTTCTAGAAAAACGAGAATCAAACTCGGATCAATGTGTGTGTGTGGGGGGAGGGGCGAAGCATCTTAGATAGATAGATAGATAGATAGATAGATAGATAGACAGAGAGAGAGAGAGAAAGAGAGAGAGAAAGAGAGAGAGAGAGAGAGAGGTAGATAGATAGATAGATAGATAGATAGATAGATAGATAGATAGATAGATAGAGGGGGGAGGGAGTAGGAGTGATGGGTAGACAAACAGACATGCAAACAGATATGATAGACAGACACACAGGCACACAGGCACGCAAGCAGGCAGACAGAGAGACAGATTGACAAACAGACAGGCAGGCATGCAGACGACGAATGTGGAGATGGGAGGGAATGAAACAAAGTCAGCGTTTATGTCCACTACTTCTGTTCCTCCCTGCCTGAGACCTCCTGGCCGTCAAAATTATTTTAGAATAATTATGTTTTAATAACGGAATTACTTGCTTGCTATAAGTTGTATGTCTTATATTCATCATAGTACAATATTGCTGCGTATTAAGCAAAACACAAAGTAACAATATTATGAAGTATGCACTGCTTATTTTATAGACTTCTACGTGAGAGAGAAGTCCACATCTGTCACTATTGATCTTGTGCCAATACAGTAACTATGTGATAAGTGAACTGTATTCATAAAACATTATTTTTGGCAGCAAAATAATGGAGATGGTGCTTTCGATGTCGCTGGTTTGTTTGGCTACTTCACAAAATGTGAATGCCGTGTGTCTCTTCTGAGGTCGCCCCTTTTGCTCTTGGACAATCCTGTTTTGACAATCAGTGATGACAGGATTGTTTGCCTTTCAAAGTCAAGAGATCGAAAAAACAAAACAAAATTCTGAGTCCTTTTCCTGTAAAGTAGGTTGCAAGAAGACAAATGACAACAACAATAGCATGAGTCAGTGCGTGTGTGTGTGTGTGTGTGTGTGTGTGTGTGTGTGTGTGTGTGTGTATGTGTGTGTGTGTTT